CGCATCTGTAGCATTGTAGGCTGCGGTCTTCCGCCGTGCATCGGACCGCTACATGTCCCTTCTCCAGGCACCTGTAGCAGCGTAGCTCTCTGGGCATCTGGACGGCGACACGCGCCGCCACCCATCCGACGAGCAGCCTCCCTTCGGCCAGCTTCTTTGCAGCTGTGATCGGACACGTCACCCACGCCGCGGAGAGCCCACTTCTGTCCGGGCGGACTCCACTCACCCGAATTTGATCTGTGGGGCACTCTCCTTTTGCCGATACCGCATGACGGATTTCCTCGGCCGTGACTGAGTCATCTAGTCCAGATATCCGGACGCTCGTCACTTTTTGAGGTCTAGCCACTCTAACGCTTTCTGCGGGCAGTGCCTCCCTTAATTTGTCCGCGAGAGAGTTGGCGACACCGTCCTTCCCAGTACCGGGAATTTGTAGTATCGCGGCCCCGGTCACTCCACGGCGGAACTTGATCGCCTCTAATCCGAGGCCATTGAGGTCGATCTTTTGCCTCGCTTCCTTCATAATGTCGGCGTAGGTGAGTCCCTGCTGCTCGGCCTCTTTTGTTAATGTAATGCTCACGGCTGCAGAACGTGTCACCCGGAGCTTTGGTGACGCCTTTTTCTTCGGGCTAGTCTTCGAACTAGCGCGTGCTTGGCGCGCTCTCGGCGAGGTCGGCAGGTCTTTGACTTCCTTACCTCGTTTGCCAACTACAACCCATGCGCTCTCGCCATCTCGACTCTTAACGCCTAGGTTTGTAGGGAGCGTAACGGTGGCGGACGTAGAGGGCACTTCTGGTACGGGCACGCTCTTACTGCTCTCGCCAGATGCTTTGGCTTTCTTCTTCTTATTTTTCTTCATTTCTGGGGCCTGTCGGGCAGTTGCTGGGATTGAAGCAACTGCTTCGGCTCTGCCTTTCGTGGCTATATCAGCCGCGAGCGGGGGACGGACTCGTTGCGCGGGATTGAGCCTTGGCTCCAGGTCCTCAAGGCGTGCGTTGAGCCTTTCCCCGAGATTCCGGTAGATACGGGCTTCCATCTCTACGAGGCCCGGCATCTGCGTCTCCATTCGCTTCTTGAGCTCATCTATTTCACGATGGAGACGCTCATTGTCCGCGCGTAGCGCACGCGTCTCTTCTGAAATCGTTTTCTGTGCGAGCGCAGCTGCATCCTTTCTTATGTCAAGGACGGCTTGTTTGAGGGCTTGAACGAAGCCGCCCTTTAGGTTGCTCGATTTAGTGGCAACTTTTGTTACCACTTCGAGACTGGCCTCCATCCGTTTTAATACGGTGGCTGTCGTGTCCGATCTGTCTCCTTCGTAGAGGGTACACTCTTCATTCTCCGATAGCGACAATGCCGATCGGGTCTTGCGAGCCTCCGCAACTGAGTCCAGTATCTCGGCCTCAGCGCGTGTTCTCTTCTCTTCTCGCTGCGCCTTACGGTAGGCTTCTGCAGCGGCGAGGCCAACGTATTCTCCCATTGTGGGTGGCTTGACTCGTCCTTTCTTTTTCCGGCCCTTGGAGCCGGGGGTGTCTGTGGAACTACCCTCGCTCTCTTCTCTACCTCTCTTGGGAGCTGATCTGCAGCTCCAAAAGCGGCCAGGTGACTCCCGGTCCAGTGAACCGACTCGACTCGCCGATGGCGTGGATACACTAACCATCGACTCGGAATCCGACTCAGATATCCGCGCCGTTGCGATTTCCTCAATTGTTGTAGATGTGTCTGGGATCGGCAATCGATCCAGAACAACTCGCAGCTCTCTCGTCTTCTCTATACTTTCCTGCTTTTCCTCTTTTCTTCTCTTCTCCGTAACATCTCCTTCTCCTTCTACTTCTAAGTTGGTTTTGTTTTGACATTTGTTTTCCATATATGGTGTAGGTACATGGGGGATATAAAACGTCCACCCGGGCGGAGACCCTGCACCCGAGTAACCCTAATACCGCTTGGAGGTCGGGAATTATCCAAGGGTTGGCCGCTAGGAGCTCGACTTTACTGATCGAACGACCCGCTTACCCTTCGGGAGAGCGGGGGTGCAGCGTCACGCGAGGCCTCAAAAGGCGCCACAACGCGTGCACATTCAGGGTTTTTTATTGTGGTTTTCCTTCCACTCGGACCGGCCGGTTAAGGCAAGCCCACTGGCAAGGTGCGATCCGCGAGACATGACCACGACAATTGCACGAAGTACCAGTTTGCCCGGCGGGGGGTCGAGACCCCTGACCGACGACGACACAGCGCCGTCACGGCCCGCCGCGCCACGGATCCACCACAACCACTTAGTGCCGTGATGTATCCATCACCTTACCACGCTGCAACGCAGCAGCTGATAGAAAACTCAACTAGTTTCAGTACACCGCATCTCGCATGGTTCCCGAAAGAAAGAGTCGAGAGCAGCCGAGGCCCAGAGACAAGCGCGCAGCAGCGCAACGAAATGGACCCCCTCCCCAGTCACCTCCCGCACAAAGCAAAGGTCCCTCAGCCTCACCTTTGAGATCAAATGATCTCTCCAGCTTGCCAAGGACTAGCGGACTCGTCTCCGCTGGGCGCTGATGCCCTCTCCAGAGACTGGCCTCCAAGATTGAGGCCAGCCTGTATAACCTCCTTATTTGCTTCCCCTTTGCGACGGCATTGCTGCGGTCGCTCCAGGTACTGGGCCCCCCCGGCACGACAAGCCTAGGAGCCGCGGGTAAATCCATCCGCGGAGGGGGGGATGAGGCCCTTAACCTAACCTAACCTTACTTAACCTCTGTATAAATGGTAAAAAGATCAATGGACAGGGTAACCAGCCCCAAACCCACGATCTTCCTGTATAAATGGTAAAAAGATCAATGGACAGGGTAACCAGCCCCAAACTCACGATCTTCTTGAGAAATAAGTAGACTTTTATACCTTATGTCTACTCTTATGGTGATACTAACTAAACTTGTAATTGTTTGGTACTTTACACCAACCAGTGATAGTTTGTTTGTAATCTTGTAAGGGTTATAAATAATCTTTCACTCTTTCCTTGGGGGTCCAACACTTTAAAGTTCCTTTCTATCTTGCGTTACTTTGATTGTTTGTATTAAACCAATCAACCATTGTTCTATCGCCACAATGTACCTAAAGACATGACAGTATAGACGCTGGGACATCAAATCCTGACGAGGACGTCAGGGTGTCAGGAGAGGCCGTGTTAGCGGACTGATGCCATCTTGGAGCAGAAACCTATATAACGCGAAGCAAAACCGCGCAAGGCGTTGACTCACTTTTATTTCGAGACTTCGTGCGGAACGGACGTGTTACTACCGTACCCTCAGTAAATTTAAAAAAAAAAAATGTAACGTTCCTACACGCTCTAATCATATGATTGTTGTTTTTTTGTAAATTCGATTTCGTGTGTATTCTTTTGTTTTTAAATTAAATCCGCTTCTGTTAACTGACAATACAACCTCTTTTATTTTATTTCAGTAATTTAAGTGAAACTATGATAAATTATATATCGAAACGTTCCTTTAGAATTAAAATCCATTCATAGTTTATGAGTGAATGCCGTTTATATGCAGCCTCTTTGACGGCTCATATTTCAGTCAATTTACGTAGAATTTAAAAGTGTTCTAAATTCAAATCTTTTCAATGAATCTTTTCTGAAATTTGAAAGTCAAAATCCATTCAGTAATTTTCAAGTTAATGCCGATAATATACAACCTCTTTAACGGCTCATATTTCAGTCAATTTAAGTAAATCTATGATAAATTATATATCTCAAAGTTCCTTAATATGTAGTTTCCATTCGGTAGTTTTTGAGTCAATGCCGTTTATATGCAACCTCTTTAACGGCTTGTATTTCTGTCAATTTACGTAGAACCATAAAGATCTATATATTTAAACGTTCTTTATAAATCACACTACCTTTTGGTGAAATCAGTATAAAAATCTATTTAGTAGTTTTTGAGTAAATGCCTTTTATATGCAACCTCTTTAACGGCTTATATTTCTGTCAATTTACGTAGAACCATCAAGAATTATATACTGAATATAATTAGATCCAAATATTCGACAATTGTTACGATACGTCCTCACAATGTGGTCCCGCCGCTAGTACGTCGTGCATCTCAGAAGATAACGCCCAATCTTTATGTAACGCCTCTTTACATCATTTTATTTTGTTATTATTATTAACATAAGAATATTATAACATGTTTATGTTAATGAAGCATTAATATATATCTTGTATTCTTTATTTGATAATGACTATATTAATAATTTGTTGTCCTAAATACACCGCTCCCAAAATTCAATCCGTAAATAATATAATAACTCCAGATAGTTCCAGACAATTCTCTTGTTATAAGTTAAGCGTGTAATTTTAATAAACAGTTGTTTTAGTGTTAACTCGCTACCAAGTAACATACCATATATAGTATAGGTATGTATAGTATTACTTAACATGTCATAAAAACATAATGAGATCTTTGCACTCCTTGTAAATAAATATTATTTTTTTAACTCTTGATATATCGCATCATCTTAGTAGTTTATGCAATTTGAAGGTCTTTATTATGAGTTTGCAGGTTAGAAATAAAAATTTACAAAATCATGTGTTAAATTTTATTATTAAAATAATACTTGGTATTTACATTCCTTTAGGTTTCGTATCATTTTCAACACAGCACAAAAATAACAATTCCTGACTTCAGAGAGTCAGTTTCTGCGACTCATAAACGAAAGATTATAATATAAAACCACAGTAAAATTATAATTACTATACACTTTCTTAAATCTATCTTACATTAAAATCTTACATCAAATAAAATATACCTATTCAAACTAAGAATTATTCGGATTGCCGGATCCTTTCTATCGCAATTGTATTTAATTGTTTAATGTATAATTAATTTGGAATTAGGCAGGCACTTAACTATTGTTTGAACGGCTTTCTATAATATCTAATAAGGAAAGGTAAAGTAGGAAGCGAAGCAAAAGGTCGATCTGGTGCTTACAACTAGATCTTAGGTTTGGAGAAAAATTCAGATTTGTTTAAGGTATACTCTGGCCTCGCTGTGTGGTGGGTCTGGATGAGGCGCATAAGGAATATCCGAGTACAAAACACTAAAGACACTCTTGTAGTGAAGCCTCTCGGCTGCTGCGGCAGAGAAGGCCGACGTCGTGTCCATACGTAAGGCGCCTGCGTCTATTTCCTTAGCAATACGTCTGTAACAGTAAAACAATACAACAACTTTACATCAAATAGAATATACGTATATAATATAAATTAATCCAAAATTCTAAGAATTTTGATTTTAACGCGCTTCTCTCGTGCGTCTATTATGTCATACAAATGCATAAAAATTATAATATATTGCTTGCGATAAATTATGATTTAATAATGTCATTAATTATTAAATCAGAACTATAACAATGTCAATACAATGCACTTGTTTATCGCACTGTAATGTTCATGATTTAGATGCTTTGCATGTTATGACTTATGTTTCCGGGGTTAAGATCATTGCTTCATTCAATGCACGATAAGACTTGATGTGGCATACGACACCCCTCGCTCGTAAAGAGAGCCGATAGGTTTAAATACTTGAAATAATCAGATATTAGACACGAGAATCGCGCAAAGATGCTAATGCAGTAGTCATTTAAATCAAAATTAATTGGTAAATCGATCGTTTCCGCGTTACGAATGCGGTATGAGTGATTGGGGACTGGTAAGCCTAAACATGTTCACCTCGACCATGAAATGGATTCAAACCTCTAGTTATTTAGGAAGCAAATTGAAACTAGTTAATCAAAGCGCGACTGACTTTTTGCGCGTTAATTATCGTTATTAACTTTGGTGAAGTAAGTATTATAGGAATTTATAATTTATGGGGAAACTCGGCGAATCTCCGATAATTGGTATTTCGGAAAACCTATATTAAATAATTTTATGGATATTAGGAATATAATTACGTCCCGTGGCCCGCCTTGCAGGTCATAGTGCGTGCGTAGTATCTACTTAATCATTTTTTATTACGGAGTTCTTTAATGCTTATGATAATTCCTAGGCAGTTGAGTAGTGTCGGTCTAGTGGCTTCAGCGAGCGACTCTCAATGGACTTTCTGTCAATGTGCTTATCAAACACTCGCTCGTACGACGAAGGAAAACATCGTAAAGAAAACCGGCTTGCCTTAGACACAAAAAATCTACATTACAAAACTGATGCAGAAATCTGATGCCCAGATCTAGAAGGTTGTAGCGCCACTTGGAAAGCCCAGTAATTTTTGATCAAGGGACAATTTTGACTACAGTACAAATGGATATTATAAGGTCGGTAAGAATTGTAAGAAAAAACGTATGCAGCATACGAACTAAAAGCTTGTATGCCACTTATTAAGAAAAGATATCCAATATAAAGATTTTGTAATTCGATACTGGTACTTGCTATAAACGCAATCAACCAAACGAACCAACTCATCAGTTTTAAAATATTAGTAAAAAAATCAATTTATTTATCATAATAATATTAAATCCCTATTTCAATTAAATTTAAAAAATTAACTCGAACAAATAGATTCATTATTGCCATAAAAATAGATTCATAAACTTGACCCAAATATTATCGTTAATGAATGAAGTGTCCAGCGACCATCTGCGTAGCGCACCTTGGCCTAAACTTGACTACGAGTCGTAATTAAGATTTAATGACTTCACGGGCCCTTTTCATGCCATTTTTATATAAAATGAGCTGGTGATTTTGACTGTACACACAGTACACAGTAGTGTGATACACAGTAGTGTATGAATAATGATTCGCGATCACGATCACGATGATGATGGTTTATTTTGAACGTTACTGAGGAAAGATATAATTCGTACCATAAAGATTAACGCTTGCATGCATTAGGCAGTTCTTTATTGATAACAATGAACTTATCAATAACAATAATAACTAATATTTTTGAGCATAGTACAAGCGAAGGCTTAAATTCCACATGCAAATGGGAAAACACCCCTTACTTTAAATTTAACTATTATTTGTAAATTAAATATTTGGTTACGGCTTACAGGTTTTTCAACAACAATAAAAATAAATAAATCAGTAGCGCTACAACCTCTTTAGGTCTTGGCCTCAGATTCCTGAATCTGTTTCATGATCATTTTTAAATCTAATAGGCAAGTATGTGATCAGCCTCCAGTGCCTGACACATGCCGTCGACTTTTTGGATCTAAGACATGTCGATTTCCTCACGATGTTTTCCTTCACCGTTCGCAAATAATAAATGCGCACATAGAAAGAAAGTCCATTGGTGCACAGCCGGGGATCGAACCTACGACCTCAGGGATGAGAGTCGCACGCTGAAGCCACTAGGCCAACACTGCTCTTTTCAACAACAAGAGGATGACGTAAACTCAGAAAACGAGTCAGAGACCAACAATGGATTGTATAAGAATGGTAATGGTTATGCTAGTTAGTGGTCGTTCGTATCACCATAACAACGTACAGCTCCTCATTCGCATCAATTATCTTGCTATTTACCGATTATAATCACGGTAATAAACATGTCATACATAAAATTGCATTTTATTTATTCAATAGAAACGGATCTTATGACTTAAGACAAATTACAGAATAGCGATATAATATGCCCATAACCAGTAGTAGTCTCTTAATTTTCTGGCAACCGATAATATGTCACGTGTCAAAGACGAATGAGACGTCATGTCGAGGTTATTCTGAAAATGTACATATAGTAATTCTTAGTCGATATGTTACGGCTACCGCACGCCATTAGAACGCATTAAGACCAATAATGATTCAACGATTAAGTTTTATTAAGGCCGGTCTCACTTCCCTGAGAGTAAAAAAATAAAGGTACTTTATGATAATGTGATTATAATTTATATGGTATTGTTTTGAATACCTTGTGCACATTTTTATATGCACACGATTGTTACGTACGTATAACTAAGAGCCCATTTTTTTAATATTTTTTATGAACATTGATTAGGATATAGGCCTAGATGTAGGTACGCGTGGATGTAAGGATGTTTAACGGCCGGAATATTTTTGTCATAATTTTTACAGGGGTTTGGGGAGCTCTCGGATGTTATCCGATAACTATTAAACCAAGTGAAAATAAACGTCATTGAAATTCATTTAACAAGGCTCGTCAATTGTGTAGAATCCACCTGAACATTACTTTTCTTCTTCTGCTGAGACAATGGCAATTTAGATTCTGTTAGTGTAAAAAAAAATCACAGAATTTTTTTCGTAAAACAAAGTGCGTTTTCATAGTAGTGAATTACCCGATTGTTTTCAATCAATTGAGATTAAAATTGGTCACGCATTTTTTTGTATTCAATGTTTTTGAAGGCAATCAGTTTTTTGTCATACAAGTAACTTAGGTAACTTTGTATAATTATTTCCTAGTCTTACATTGTTGCTGCGAATAAATTACCCAATGACATTTAACTTGCATGCTGACTTATCGACAACGGACTAAACTGATATATGGGTACTTCCACCTGTCATAGCTAAACCGTGCTCCCCTAAATCGAAAATTTGCATATTCTGGTTAAGAATACATAAAATCAACGATGACAAAAGACAAATCGAACGATGTCTACGAATAAGCCAAAAACTCACTCTGATTCCTCACAAAGCACTCTCATGAGGCCTCGTCCTCTCCAGTCACTGTGCGTTGATGCTATCCTGATCTCCAGCACTGTGTCGCAGGTAGGAGGTAGCTTGTCCCAAATTGCTGCTTCGCGGTCTAAATAATTCAATAATTTCAAAATCCTCTTGAATTTTGGGTGAGGGCATTCTTCCGATTTGTCAGTGTAGTCGACTTCCTGCAAGAAAACTTGGCTCATAAACCTACAATAAGGACCAAAACTTGTATTAGGAGCTATATATAAGGTTTTAACATCGCGAACGCAATATTTGCTTGGTTGAAGGCTCTAATTGAAAAATTCCCTTAGGATACCCCATTTCTGGAGGAAGGCTGTCGGCTATAACATTGTGCCCAATTATGCATCCGTTGCGTGCGCCTATTAACCTTTTTATGATGTTTTTTTTTGATTAATACATGATTGGCGAATGATTCATGATATTAACTCTTATCCAAATAAATACGATGTTCATCATTAGTATTTAATTTAATATTTGAATTAATAACTTGAACTAAAATATAAAATGATGTAGTTTTGAAGAATGCGGGGGAAAAATTGATGTTGTTGTAGTCCTAAAGTAAGAACGAATGTTGAACATTTTGAATGTAATGCTTTATTAATTTATGAATAAAAGATAATCGATCGGACAAAAAAAAAGGGCTAACCTCTATTGTTTCGTGGCAACGACGAAGACAAGCTTAACGGGACAAGGTTAAAAATATTCCCATCTTCAGTGACACTTCAGTTATTATTGTTCTAAAAGTTCTCACAATTGTATGTTGTTTCAATAATAACTTTTTAGATTTAGTCGACGTGATTTGCAAATAAAGAAGCTTGGTCTTCATTCGCACTCCCACTCATATCGTAGTTACGAGCAAAGAGAAGTTTAAACCAATGAACAATGTCACTTATTAGGCGTTTTTTTTAATATTGTTTCACTATAAATAGGACCCTTAACACTCAAAGCAACAGACTGGTAATTACAAAAAAAAAATAGAAATGAAAGGCGGACATTAAAGTTTTATGATTTTTAATGGATTGTGGTTTGCCGTTTTTGAAAAAACGAAATAAGGAAACGGTTGCCGCTACCTTGCACTTGCAGTCCTGAAGGGTGGGAAGGCCTTTTGTTTGTTTAGTTTACCTTTATAGTATATTAATAAAAGTAATTAAATATATAAATATTTTATTTTTATCGGTCACGACTGATCTGTTCTGCTGTTAGATGTTTTCCGCATGAAACTAATTTTTGAAACATTAATATATATAGTATATAACTTTAATTGTTCATTTAAAACGTTAGCCAATTAATAATTCAATGCGTGAACTCCAATAATGTACACCTGACCGGAAAGACATTCTGGATCGTTCAATTTCGTTACGGCAAGGCACGTGTCAACTCGCACGTGTGTAATACTAAATTTATGCATTGGATGGATTAAGTTCGCATTATTATATCGGTGGCTCTTACCTCTCTCCTGGCAATGCCATTAATCACCATCCCTACAAAATCGCCCTGGTCATCCACGACAGCAACGGAGACTCCGTCCTGAAGAGTACTGGCTGCGTAATCCTCCAGCTCAAAGCACCGGGACTCCGGAGTTTCCAGGAGGTTAATTGTGAGGTTTAAGGGCTCATCTCGAAAGAAAAATCTGCAATAATAATTATTAAAATATCAAGATTTAATTTAATATGACAAGCACTTATAGACTAACATAGCAAACACTAATAGAAAAAAAATATAGATCCATAAATTATAAAAACTAAAGGAAAATCGATTTCAAGGTGTGAGGGGAGCAACTATGGATATCCACACCTAGCTCGTTTATCAGAATGCTCAATCTGGATATCGGTGTTTTTTGCCCAAAACGCGTTCGTTACAAATGGGACGATCAAGGCATCCCTTGGGTATCTTGAGGGTACACGAAATTTAAATTTCGTTTGAGGCAATCAACCTTATACATAAGTAATGCAACACAAACGATACATCAATTAATTGTCTACGACTCTCCAATGACATCTTAAAGTGCTCTAAAATAGTTTCGTATGTTTGCAACTCTTTTTTCGAGATTGGAGAAAAGTAGATTCCAGATGAATCGTTTTGTAAACGACAACATGCGTTGCATATTGCATCCTCTATAAATCTGTTCTGCATCAAAGTATGCTGCACACGAGACTATTGTATAACACAATTTTTGTTTTTAATTTAGTTAAAGATATGACTTACTTAAAATGGCGTACCTTTGATCTCTGTGTGCATAATTTATTAATTAATGTTTCAAAAAATTATTAAGAAAAGTTTTCTAAAGCAATGGATCCATCGGCTGCAGAATCTTACGCCTGAATACATGGAGACTGTCAATGGATCTGCTTCGCATGTACTCAAAGTGTCGTTTACTGCAGATAGTGATCTGTTTAGAGGAGCATTACAACCGACGTCGGTCCCCACTGCCCGAACGTAAAAAAGGACTGATGTGTTTCTGGTGTTTCTCTTTAAGAGGAATTTCACTTGACTTTAAGCATTTGGTAAATCTACCAAGTTATTTAAATCTTGTAAACAAAGATAATGTCATTCTGGCATTATCATGGCAGAGACTCGGGACGATCTCAACCGAATGCTCGTCGACCTTCAGAGTGTCGTACGACGTAAGTCTTTAAATGATATTGGACAAAAAGTATGTCAAATATCCATGTTGCGCCTACTACTAGTAACATTGGGAATCTCTATTCTCGAGGTAGTGGATGAATACGTTTACCTAGGCCATTCAATACAATTAGGTAAAATACAATTATCTTTAAAAAGGGAGTCATTCGAAGAATCCGCCTTGGATGGACAGCCTTCGAACCAAAAGTCTTCGAACGGTGTGTTATGTATGAACGGTGTCGAATGTTGTGTGTGTTGAATGACTTACGGTGCTGATACTCGATCTCTTACTTCAAGCCTGGTACACAAGCTCCGCGTTGCTCAACCAGCTATGGAAAGAGCTATACTCGGTGTTTATCTACTCCATCGGATCAGAAACGAGGAGATCCGTATATGAACCAAAGTCACCGACGTAGCCAAAAGATCGTATAAGTAAGGCTATGGGTGGGACATATTGCCCAAAGAACCAATGGCCGATGGCGCATAAAAGTCTTGGCATGGAGGACGAGGACCAATTGGAGGAGCGATGGACGCCCTCCCATACGCCAGCACAGGACCCACAGATCCCATAGGACGACCGACCTGGTGAGGGTGGTGGGAAGACGTTGAATTCAGAGTGCGGGCTGGGCGTACTGGACATTTCGGGAAGAAGCCTATTTCGATCGAAATTTCCAGTTGCCGCACTCTTACTATATTAATAATAAATAATAAATTCTTACTTTCGGAGAAATTCGATGACAGGTTCTTTATCACTGGTGGTGAGCTTCCGAAGACTGTAAGCGGGCTTGGAGAGGTTCCGGGGCCGTAGGTTGAGTTCTTTGAGCTGTGACGGTAATTTGTCTGCCAACTGAAAAGGAAAACGAATTGGTACTTTGTACTACAAGTACATAAGCATAATATGGGTTATGTGTAGTATTTCTATATTGTCATAAGTATATGCACTGATTAAGTTGCGGGACAACCTTACATTTTTATATTCCTTTAAACATATACGAATCATCTTGGCACCTTAGAATGGTCCGATCTAGATAAAACTGAAAATATGAAGACGTGAATATTGCGACACAACGGGAACACGTCATTCCCTGTAACCTGATAGTGGTCAATATTAAACTGTCGAGTCATGCATTGGGCTCAATTACATAAGGCGGTCTTTATTAAAACTGGTCATTATACTAATCCTAAGCACAATTAAGAGGTGTCATACGTAAGTCCCATGTTTAAAATTAGTATCTTTGTCCAGAACAAATCATATCACACTTTATGTATATTTAAATATTACAAGTTTAAAAAAGGAATTAGTATAAACACAGATATATATACTGCTCAAAACAATTAGCGGAACTATTGCTTAAACTAAAATTAGATTTAAATTAACTTGTACGCTATTTTTTACCTTGTTAATTTGTTAATTACTACAATTAATAAAAAAAATCAATTTGTTTTTAAGTAGTTTTTTTCAATCTTTTGAGTATTAATAGAAATTGAAGTGAGCCTTTGAGTATTGTTATTCATTGAAGCGAGTGAGTTTAGGTCATAATGCCAGATCTGACTGAATTGCATGTCTCCCGAGCTATCGCTTTGCTTGAAGAGGGTCGAACTATGCGTTATGTAGGAAATGATCTAGGAGTAGCCCCTTCTGTTATCTACAGACTTTGGAAGCGATACCGTGAGACGGAAGAATACTCACGAAGGCGTGGTCAAGGTCGAAAGAGAAAAACTACACGTTTGCAAGATCGCTACATCGTCAACTGTGCTTTACGTAACCGCACCACAACTGCAAGAGATCTACAAAATACACTAAGGACGGCTACTGGTGTAGAAATTTCCGACCAGACGGTAAGAAATAGGTTGTTGGAAGCCAATTTGAGATCACGCCGACCAGTTCGGGTACACGTTGCGATGGTCGTCTCCGTGTTTACAGACGCCCAGGCGAGCGATACAGTGCAGCAGCAGTCCAGGAATATGACAAATTTGGATGTGGCTCTGTGATGGTTTGAGGCGGAGTTAGTTTGGACGAGCGCACAGATCTCGTCGTTGTTCCCGGGCGCTTGTGTGCTCAAACTTACATTGAAAATGTTCTCGAAGATCATGTTTGGCCCGCAGCATATGGTATGGGCCCAGATTTTCTTTTAATGCAAGATAATGCCAGGCCGCATACTGCAGCCATCACGTCAGATTACTTACGACAGCAGGAAATCCGTGTAATGGAGTGGCCTTCCATGAGCCCTGACCTAAATCCAATTGAACACATTTGGGACTTGCTTGACAGGCGCATCCGGAAGCGTCCGATTGCACCTCAAACACTGCAGCAGAAGATAAGACAATTCCACAAGAAGATATTCGGAGGATCATACGAAGCATGCCGCGTCGTTGTCAAGCCGTGATTAGGGCTCGTGGAGGCCACACACGTTACTGAAAGTCACTAAAGACGAATATTCAAACGATATAAGAATATTTCTTTGATGGACCTTTTTTATCACCAATTAGTTTTTCGTCTACAATGCACATTTTAATTTTTTTTTAATAAAAAAATACAAATTGAATTTTTTTATTAATTGTAGTAATTAACAAATTAACAAGGTAAAAAATAGCGTACAAGTTAATTTAAATCTAATTTTAGTTTAAGCAATAGAAAGGAGAAAAATCTTGTTCCGCTAATTGTTTTGAGCAGTATATATATTATATACCGAACTGTTAAGAGCACAATGTACGTAATGTTATTATGTTAATATTATTCCACGTAATTGCTTTGATTGTCAACTTGTGTCAAGCGTCTGTATTTTATACATAACTTAATTGTTACAAATGTATACTTCCCATGAAACATGAACTACATAATTACATCTCACAGTGGAGTAGTAACCTTTTTCAAAGCTTCTATAAATGTTAATAAAATATAGTGGTTGCCTGGAAGAGATCGCTCGAAAGCGATAAGGCCGCCAGTTGCCTTTCCTTTACATTTAATTTTGTTAAATTTTTATATTATAAAGCAACAAAGTGTAAATAAATAAATAAAATATATTGTGTCTAATAATAAAAATCTGAACAATATTCTAATCAAGAAAAACGGAACGACAATAGGATACTTGCGTAATAAATATCATTTCGATGCATTTATAAATGATTAATCGTAAAAGGATGTGAAGTGTATTGGTTCTAAGTTGAATATGATTACATTACATTATTACTTAGTACGATCAAATTCAACGCTGTTATTAAAATAAACCGATAGAATATCCCTTTTAGGCTATGGTATGTATTAATAAATTATACAAGATAACAACATAGCAACATACCTACATATACGGTAATTATAGTTGACGTTACTGTTTCTATTAACATAATAATAAGACTCGCAAACTACCTATTAATTTTTTCTCAACCTGCTCTAAAAACCTTCCGGGTTCAAGTAGTGTGCTTAATTTAATATTTAAAATCGGGAAGTGCATAAAAACAGTTATGCTCATAAATCCGTTATTTTTTTCTTCTTCGCTTTTTGTTGACAATCGCGCGTCCTTGACCCCGAAATTCTACTTAAATTTTTGTTTTGTTTCGTAATATTTTGTAGGCATTAATTTCGCTTTTAATATTAAGTAATCCAAGGTGAGTGCGATGAGCGCTTCACCTACAGGAATGAAGATATAGCCTATAACGCTTTTTGGGTTACAAAAGGCTTCTCAATATTTCCCTCGTTACTACAGTGGGAAGTCGCGAGATCTTATCTCACGTCACGATCCCGGTAGCGAGTTCCGCAACTAATTCTTAGTGTTCGTGAATCGTGTATTATGTATTGTTTATTAAAGCATTTAAGGTTTTTTATGTCTTTGTTAACTACGTGTTAGGCATTAAAAAAACTTGCTTCTATTATTAACTTATACAATTAAAAAAATTGTTAAGTTTACCTATCGTAACAATTAACGTTTAATTATATAAGAAAGTTCAGTCAACCCGTTATCTTATCTACATTTTGGGTTATTATTTATTTAACATTTACATGTATCAAGTCAGCACAAAGTCTGCAGCACAGTGGTTGCAAAACTCGAGCGCCTTTTGGTGCGAGACCTCGCTCAATATCATTACCAAGGCCTAAGTTCGATGATCGCCTTTCGATTCCGTGCCTTCACTTATTCGTTAAGTTCTAAATGTCTACAATTCGTTCTCTAACGAATTCTCTACATTCTTATAAAGGAATGAGAATGTAAATAATCTTAATTTTTAAGTTTAATTAAATCTACGTTTGTATAACAATTATAAGCATTGGTAATTTTAAAAAGATGAATTATTCATATCTCAGTATATTAAAATATTATTATAAGGTCGATTATTTTGTACTTAACAATAAAATAACAATAATAAAACCGCAATCAATCTGTTTGAAATCATTTACGTTAATATTGAACAATAAATTACGTAACTATTATTGTGTCACCTGTGATTGTGAATCAAGCAGATCACGAATGTCCAGCACAATTACCACTAGAATGGAATCACGAAGTGGTTTCTTGGCATAAAGCACAAATTATGAACTCTTAGTACTTGTAGTACTAGTTGTATATGGAATAATATGTCTCGCGGAATATGAGAGTTTTACAACTTGTTCTACTAATTGTTATGTCAGATAAAACGATCCATAAAGAAAATGCGAAAGATATTTCTAAATTCCTTTCCAGTCGACGTCGTCTAAAGTAACTATATGTGCCGAGTACAGTTCACATACATTTTCTTATTTTCCCATACATTTGTTCTTCATTAGAAAATTCCTATAATATTATAATATATAACGAATCTGAATCAGCCTTTAGTTTGAGATTTTCATTACGATTTAACACTTTTAACAAAAGAAAAGAAGACAAAAACATTTGTTTGTTCATCATAAACGTTTAGATGAGCCAATCATTTAAATTAACTGACATTTACATGTAGTTAAGGCAAGCGAAAACATCAAAGTAATGTGATAGTTTCCTAAAGAAGACTACGTCAATTCTTTGAGAACATATTAAGACATTGTGAACAAGACATACAACACAGTGAACGTTTTAGTTTTTGTCTATTTTTAGATCAAAAAGTGCGTTAAAAGAGAGCAGTAAACCCCTCATCTTGTTGTTTTATTAATAAAAAAAATATTGCTCGAATAAATTAAAAATGTTAACAATTACTTGAATTATCTAGATTGCAGAATGCAAACGCCGAGACCCACCAGTGTCCTAGTCACGGCCGTCTAGTCTCACAGTAATAAAATTATAAAAACATTATCTGGTACATATTTTTTATGATAATGAAGGAACCGAATATAAAAAAAATATTATGAAAACGAATGTGAGACCGTTACAGTTGTGGTTAAATAAAAAATATATTTTATGACATTCTATTCTAGAAACGCCACTGTCTTTTTCCATTACACCAATTTGAGAAATTAATATTATCTTGAGTTATATCTACTTTTAATATCAATCGTGTTTGACATAATTGTTTGTGAAGCTAAATAACATGTTTTTTGTATGATATATAGCAACAATTCTCTTAAGAATTATTTTTTAATAAATTGTAGTGACATGACTGACACACCTGTAAAATTGTATAGTGTAAAAGTTTCATATAATATATTTTTACACTTCTGAGCGATACCGTAGCGCTTCAGCTCAAGCTACGGAAGTGATACTCGTAGCTCTTCAAATTATATTTAAATTATATTCGTTCCTGATGCTGTCATTTCATTATGTACATATATATGTAAAACATTCACATTTAGCAAGCATTTTCCCAGTATACATAGAAGTGTTACATTAACACACTTTTCGGTTATAATGTACTGCAATATTACGGTTAGGGACTAAAACTGATAAAAACATATGTTTACTTGTCGTATTCGAATTATTTTAGTTAAGGGTATTATATATACATTACGCTACGAATGTGAATTTCTAATCAATACAACTTTAATGATGATGTTCTGTTTAATCCAAATACTTATAAAATACTCTCCTTGTTTGCAACCTAAGAAGTTCTCTTACGTTCGTTCAAAAGAAGGTACCTATTATGTATTGTGTTTGATAAAGAATCAACGAAGTAGAATCGTGACCTATCTCGTCAGCTGCTACTACAATATATCACGTACAACAATACATCATGACCTAGTTGTTATTTTTAAAAACACATTGTTTCAGGTGTGTTTTTATAAATCTTCTCGGTACTGTAACGGATAAGTAGTATCGTATGTCTGTTTCGTGTCCGACAAAGGTGAAGTCCAAATCTGTGAGCCTCGTGCAATAGCTTAGTAATCAACCACCAAATAATACCTTAGTACCGTTAGTATATTACTGTTTAGTACCTTATGAGTGAGTTATGGCACTTTTATAGCGCCATCAAACTCTTATGCACATATCGCTTCGTTATTAGATAAAACATGATAACACGGGAAAAAGGTCATACTAATAATATTATCCATTATTCTTAATACGAAACTATAGTTTTATTATTTTAATTAAAAAGAACAGGTACCTGTACTATCTCGGCTCGTATAAAATCGCATTGACCTAAGTGTAGCCGTGTCCTTTAGGTCTTATCATGGCCTTATGCCTTATGCATACAAAAATCCGGCGTTTTCCTACTAAAACAGCGAAGTAGTACAAATTTATCGGAATAATTTTAACGTTAATCGCCAATGTTAAGGAATTAAGGCCACGTAAGTTTTTTGTTTATATTAGTTTTACGAAAATTTAAATATAGTAAAAAAATATTCTATTTAATTTTATTTTGCTGTACATTAGTGACATGATTGTAATTAAAGTGATGTAAATGTAATTAAATTTATTATTCATTACATAAGCCTCTTAGATTGATTTCGAACTTGATTTATTAATTGTTAAAAAAGAAAACTCATAAATAACAGAAACTGCCGAATATGTACTCTATAATAGATGTGGTACAGTACTAATAAATGAAGTGATTAGATTAAAAGTGCACTCGTGCCAATATGCGCAAATAGAAAGTTACAACGATAAATGCACGCTTATTTATATCATAAACTGCGTAATGTATTTGAGGGCAAGGTTTAGACTGTTATTTACTTCCCAGATAAATGATAGCGGTATTTGGGTTACAGAGATTATAGAATAATTCTGTTTTAAAATCTACAGTAGAACAAGGATATTATGTATTTGTTTTACGAAAATTGGTTTTAAATTCGACTATGAAAAACCTCTTTCGGTCATGCGGTAAGTTGCAAAAGGACAATTCGTATGCAAAGATGGATAGATACACTAGAGAAAAAAAATACCATTCTAAATATTACCATTGGTTTAACATTATATTTAAATAATAACTTCGTATATTTGTAGTATATCGTTAAACTAGAGAACAGTGGACAATTAGTTTAAAATGCTCCTGAAATAAAATGATTTGTATGTTTATATTCTATTTCTTTATTCTCGGAGTTATGCTGTATTGTTAAAACCTTGGCTATTAAAATATACAGACATAAATTATACTTATTTTATTAGTAATTTTGTATAAAAGAAATGATATTCCACTTAAATAATAAAATACAAGCATATAATCAAGTTTTTAAAAATCTACAGCAAATTTAATTAAATATTAACTTTATAAGAAAACTGCGGGTATAATTTTTGTTTAGATCTAAAGATATGTACCGTATCAATTACGGTATGTTTTTAAAATGCCCGTTTTCCTGCATTTTATTTCGTAAATAGCAACTTCCAACACGATAATTATTGTATTAGGAAATAACACAATGTCTGAATAAAAATACGTACTACGTTTTGCAATATTTTTATCTGTTTATATTTAACACGTATTTCTACGCTTTAAACGCTTCAAACGCTTACCGTATATTTTTCGATAATCCGTTCATTGTCATGTTCGAAATGCCCCTTTTCTTGCAAGTCCACAATGTTTCTGGCACTCGTAACGGCCATATTTAAATGTCACTATTCACGCGTAAAGTTAAATTTCAGCAACGTTCCCTAGACGGGTCGCGGCGAGTTTTGAAATTGGAATGGTTGCGAAAACGCGCTTCTTTTATATAAAGCTGCTACAGCACTCGACGCGCCCCTCGCCTAGTCCTTTCATATCCGCCCGAATGAGCTGTTGCTTTACACTTGGACTCGGGAGGTTTATCTTATACCGTGCTTTAATGAGAAGAACTCAGCTGTAACTCCTGTAAGAAGCAACTTTTATCTTATTGAAAATTTAAAATGTAAATAAATTTGTAATAAATAAAGTTATTTTTATATATATTGTAATAAATCGTTATATGTTAACTATATCATAATAACAAGATATATATTCAAAGTGCTACTTTATAGATAATTTTTAAATTTATGTTTAACACAAGTTACTTCTAATTTAAATGTTAAATATTAATTTTGAGGCCAACGCGTTATTTGGTACGAACAATTAGCATAAATGCGTTTTTGCAAGCATTATATTGAGCGAAGCGCATTCTAATGGCATAATGATATATACATATTTACGAAAATATACGGTCTTCCAAACAGACAATGACATTGTTCGTTCTGTCAAGTAAGTTAACATGTTAATGTCACTTTTGACAGCACGAAGCAATAGGTTTCCTATACACTACCTGAATAATATGATACTTTTAAGCTTTATTATTTCTGCTTTAATTAACGTTATCAATTCGTTGTTATTGTGAATGTACGTGCTAAGAGCTCAAAACATTGATGGTATAAAATATGTTGCATATATTTCATTTAATTACGAAATTAACTGTTAAAGGCATTTTTTTGAGTAACATCAATGTATTACTGACCTATCACACCCTTCAATAGACTTGCATTGGTCGCCATTACAATAACCAGTTTTTATTAACTGTGGACAAACAAGACACGTGAAACCTGCCTCTCCACAAACTGGGAGAATCAGATTGCAATTCAATATATTTTATTTGGTTGGAGGTGCACTATATATATACACATATGTATATCTACATAGAATTGCCGAAAACATATTATACCCAAAGACAAATCATTAATTTTAAGATATAAACACTAATAACCACGACTGCTGCTAAGTGTTAAATAATGTAATGAATTTGCGTTTAGTTTTTGTTCTGTAAAATTAAAATTGAACAAATTCAACCTAGAATTAATTATTTAGATATCTAACGAAATAGATATGACTATTGATTATAAATTAAAAAATGTCCAAAAACTTATTAAGGAGAACTGGGCCATAAATGATTTATGTAAGCTTTGCTGGCTGGTATTGAGGTCATCGGGAGACTAAAAATATATTACTTTTATTACACAAAATCCTTGTAATTACTGAGAAGGACTTTATTTTATCGGTTCTAGATTAAATCACAATTATCAATTTTTTTTTTTTAATATCGTATCTTGGAAAATGTAGCCTAAATTTACGATGATCATAGACAAAACGGACGTTACTCATTGTAAACTAATTTGTTTCGGATCGAAATCCTAATTAGAATAACAAACGAGGCATTGAAACGAGATCATTGACGTTTAACTACAAGTGGTTTATTGTATACACTCATCCTTCATACACTTGTATTGCATTGATTTAACAGACTTTTTATAATTTATAATTCTCTTAATGATAAAAAATAACAATACAGTTTTCTATTATTTAAATACTAATTGGTTTTAGTAACAACGTTTACAATAAATTAATATTATAACATTACAAGCTGGTTTCCGCAGTTTCACTTGCGTTCGTTTAAGACGCGTGCTCGTCATAATATATGCATGCGCGGTTTTTCACCAATATTTTGTTGCAGTATTCGTATGTGAACTGGTTTTCAATGGAGTCTCTATGTGGATAAGGATTAATATCATGTGTCAAAAATCAATTGCAATAAATAGGTTAAGAGAAAGGCATAATATGCTGTGCAAATGTAAAAGAACATTTTAAAGTATTTTATTTCCATTTTGGTACTAAGTTATTATGATAATATAAGGATATATATTACTCAGTATAATTACACAAGTGATCTACCAAAACAACGTACAAAATGGTATTTATAATTAAAGTTTTCCGTATGGAATAATAGGAAATGTAAACTTTAGGTAGACTGATTTCGTTCTTACCATTATACCACCCACCACTATAGTTGGTTTCGAAGGCAATATTAATTAATAGCATATTTTTAACGATAGTTATTCGTGATTGAAACACTTGGTCAGTGTCATTGTGAATCATTTTCACAGAAGCCTTTAAATTATTACTTATTTTCCCTTGGACGACTCTTCAGACAAGGCTAAGCGTTTCCATATAAAGTACTCGTGTGCCATCTAAATGTAAATTTATTCTTTTATTTGTCAGAATCCGTGGAAATGATACTTTACTACTTCTATAGTAGTAAATATTAATAGATTTTTTTGGGACATGGAAGAAAAGTGACCTCCCCACAGGGTTCAGTTAATTTCGTACCGTTTTCAATACGGAAAAGAAGACTGGAATCTGGAATAATCTGCTGATGATGCCGTTTAGCTTACTGGAATACCTAAACGTGCCCAGTTTCAATACTTGAGAAAAATAAACTTTAGGTAGTGGTTATATTACTGACCATTACCCTTTAACAATCTCGTGCATTCCATGTCATTCCATCCATTTTTAAAAATAACTGACAAGGTAAGCTAAAAATACCTCTGGCCTTGCTTTTTGAAATCAATTTGTTTACACTTATATTTCCTGGACTCGTGCTAAATCCACTTTCACTATTAATCAATAAAATAAAAAAACTGAACACGTGTATCGAAATTGTTTTAATAATTCTTTAAATTCAACGGAATACACGTGCCACGAACCTACCTGCCTTTATCATGGCCAACGTGTTGTTTGTAATTAGAAGTAAAAAGACTTTAAAATTTGATTATTTACCTTTTACTATGTCACCCTTTCCTAACACATAAGCATCATAAGCATCATAATAATAAAATACTAAACATTATTTCGTTTTAAGCAAAAATCAAATTTTCCGTCATTTATAATTTAGTACCGTTTGCTTCGTCCAAAACAAACAGCGACAACTTGTAGCAAGCGGCGCCAGCTGACCTATTTACTCGAAGAGTGTAGCTTCACTCTGCGCCCCTTGAATTTAATTGCCTCGGCCCTATAGAGAGTTAAACGAACATGGAAATTTAGAATTAGAGGAGAAGACACGTTAGAATACTTTCAGACAGGTAATAATTAAAGCCAAATTCATGATGAGCGTTTGAGACTCGCGGTCCGATGCCTGGGTATACGTTGGTGTCTCGTGGACGCTCATCATCATCACGTAATGTTGAGCTAAATCAGGAGCAGGTTTACAATTCGACGTCTAATATTGTCTACTATGCAGCTGCTATTTTCCGTAATAATGTTTGATTACAATAGAGAATGAGAGTAAAGGTCATTCAAAAAGATTTCAAAGATTAAATGTTGTCGTCCTTAGCTAGAACGTCTAAATAGGTACCTAGCTTAGCCTCAGCTGCCTCATACAACCGACTTATTAATTATTTGATTTCCTAGGTCACTGGCGATTTCTTAAACTCAAATATAATATTTATACGCGAAATATTTAATAACGTTCATTATGCATATTATTCATAATGTATTTAGATTGCCAGATATAAAAAATGCTTGTGTAATTAGTATAATTTAATTATTTTTTTGTTGAAAATCGAAATACAGTGTAAACTCTTTATAACTAATTTCAAGGGTCCGAGCATTTTCTTTCGTTATAGAGAGTTTGCGGTTTGGGGAGGGAAGAGTACAGACATAACACTTTCTTATACTGGCCATTTTGACAGTTTCAAAGTTTGTCTACGACTTATGATACACGATAAGTCTGTGGTGCGTTTAGTAACTGACACCAAAATTTCCTACAGGCAATGTCTCTAATCTAAGCATAGTGGCACACGTGTTATTGCAAGGCGAGACGGCTGTTTATCACCTCAGGTGTCTTTCTTAGAAATTTCGGCACCTCAAAAGGTGAGTTTTGTAAGCTGATTATACAAAGAATTACACTTACGTATGTTGATTTCTAAATATGAAAATATTTCTTCGTTATAGAGAATGGCTGTTGCGTTATAAAGAGTCAATTATGTTTAGGTTTTGTGTTAACCAAACAAATGAACATATTTTTACGTTATAGAGGGTTTACACTGTAATTGTGTTTAACTTTGGAGTTACTAACCAAAGAAATCTAACATTTTTAAACAGAATACAAATACAATTTTTTTTAGGTTTGTTTGTAATTTAAACTTAGGTAACATTTTTGTTAATTATACTTATATAGGGGCACTTATACGAGTATTCTAAATATGTTCTTTAACGAAAATAAGCAAAACATAATACAACAATACAACGTATATTATGTGTGTCTGTTAGTATTAAGATAGATACAGTATTATTTTTGATCAAATTAGATATATATGGCGTCTTAAGAGATATCGATTTATAACATGTAAATATGTTTAAGGTTTAGAGGTTATAAGGAAATTATAAATTTAGATTTGGCAATCGTCTAACTTCTAAACTAAAATCGTTCAGAAGCGTCAAGTTTATTCTTTGTTAACACAATAAAGGTTAATTAACATTTCCTAGTGCTAATTACAGTTTGGACAGCGATGTAATATGTTAATTGTAATATGTTAATAATATTTTTTATCTTATCTATAACAAATAGCTTGCAGCGAATACGTGAACCTTGAGCACAATTTAGTAACATTAATCGAGCCAAATCTAACCTTTTAGCAGCTTAACATACAAAGTATATTTTATCAGTGTAACTTAAACTACAAGATAATTTTGATAGTAATAAGTAAGGTTATGAGAATCGGCATTATGTACAAACGTCAATTAATAAGTTTTTAGCTCGTTATTATATTCGTGATGTGAACTCGCGTCGCTGAGTCGAATTCTCATTTAGAATAAAGATATTATTAAC